CAAAAAGAGGGTGGGGGGGCGGGCTTGCCACTATCTGTTAATACCTCCTGGACTGTCGGTGCCAACCAAGATGTCAGACAGCTCCATCGCACTGATTATCGGTGCCACGTTGCCTTAGCCACTGAACCTGGCAACAACCACACACACACACACACGCACAAACACACACCCCTTCTGTATGCCTTCAAGGGGAAGGGGGTCCCCTGCAATTTCAGGTCTGCAAAAGGGGTGTTTTTTCAGCCCCCCACCCCACCCTCTGTACTCCAAGGAAACCAAACGCTTTCATAATATTGTTAACTTTGGTTGTGTGTGTTTTATATCTTGAAATATTACTTCAATTTTCTAGCCGAGGGCTTGGAAGAAGGGGCTCTTTAATTTCCCGGCCAAGGGGGCTCCGGGACGCTGCTCTTGGAAGGGCCGAGAGAGGCAAGGAAGGCGGCGCGAACCTGCCAGAGGCAAAATGTACACTCGGATCTAACTCAGGTGGGAATCAAAGGCGAAAGAAGGGAATCGGTCTGCTGAAGGAAAAAAAAAACACTGGGAAGATTCTGAAGTTCCTGGGAGTGACCATTTGCCTCTGATAACAAATTTGGAGGGTGGTCCGCAGTGTGGAAAAGTTGGTTGTTATTATTATTATTTTAGACTGGGGCTCTTGGGTAGTGTTAGCTGGGGATTCTGGGATTTGTAGCCAAAAAGAAAATTATTCCAGGCCCTGGGCTGATTGAGACGGATTGGAAAGATAGAAGTGTCTCGTGGAATGCCAGAGCAATTCTGTATAAAGACATAAAGCCAGCACCAAGTTGAGAGGATTGGCTGTTTTGAAGAGGCTTCATTCAGCCAAAGGGCAGGGAATAGCAACCGGCGGATGGCATGAGACACAGAGGCCAAGTTGAATGCATCTTTATTAACCCGACGATGCCTCCGGGTGGCTCCTGAAACCGGAGGACGATAAGACCGGACAGAGCGCAGAAGGAGTCGTTTCGATGGATTTTTGTAAGGATTTGGGGCCCTTTGTTTGTTAAGCGTTAACTGTTTCCTCTCTGCTGAACCAAAGAATAAATGTATGTAGAATTCTGTTTTATTTCTCTGCCTCGTCTCGAGTGCTTTTGATGGCTCTCTTTCCCACCTTTCTGTCAGGTTGGGATCGTCCCACCCCTCGCCCGCTCTGGGTGGTTTTGCGTCCCTAGGGAAGGACCAAATAAAATAAAGGTGTCTCCTTGACAGGGCTGGACTGTATAACTCACGGGGTCCCTTCCAGCCTCTGCCATCCTAAAACGATTATTCATCTTTCCATACCTATAGGGACTGGATCTAATTCACAGGGCTTAGGGAAAAGTTCGACGACAGCTAGTTTTGGGGAATTCTGGAAGCTCCAGCCCAAAAAGAAAGCGGCTTCTCAATGTGTTCATCTTAAAATTTGTAGGCGTGGCTGGAATAAAGTGGTGCTCAGACCAACGAGGCGGTGGCCCATCTTTAAAATACAAATCACGGTCGCTTCCTTTCACAGAGAGGTATTTATTCACCCATTTACAGCCTATGTACAGATGCAACTTGCATTGTTTACATGCAAACTCAGATAAGTCCAAAGTGTGTGTGTGGGGAAAAACAGTCCAGAGGGTTTTTTCTTGTGCCCTGATGTCTCCGCTGCGAGGATACTTTAGACCCCAAGAACTAGAGACAGTTCCCCCAACGGACTGCTTCTGCATGCAAAAGCATTCCTTTCATGTAGAAATCTAGCAGCACAATGCAAGGATGCTTCACTCAGAAGGTAGGTCTCCAGCGGCCGTCATGAGAAATGTTATTTTACATATCTAGGGGGAGCGTTTGTGTGTGTGTGTGTGTGTGTGTGTTTAATTGCGCAGATGAACGTTCAGTTAGAGTTGCTCGTTTGTGTGTGTGTGTGTTTAATTGCACAGATGAATGTTCAGTTAAGAGTTGACTGCCTCTTGTGCTGGTATGAAGGCTTAGGTCCGCTTTAGATGGGACCCACTCCCTGTAAAGTAAACCAAAGGCTTCGGGCTTTTCTGGGGATGCCCAAGGTGTTGCCGGGCCCGACTCTCCTGAGTTTCCAAAACTGAATAAGATCCGATACACCGAGGGTGGCCCAGGTAGATACTGCTTGCCGTTTTGAACAGACCGGCACCGCCCAGAGGGAAGGGAGATCATCCAGCTTGTCCAGGAGAAGATCCTGCCAGCTTGTGTGCTGTTTCACCCAGGACTGGCATCTGGAGCGCCCACACAGGCAAGCCGAGGTGGCTCGATGATCTGGCCAACAGGGAGGTGGATACCCGTTGCCCATCACCTCTGAAAGGGTTACGAGTGTCATCCAGGCTTGAGAATCAAAGACGGCAGGGAGTTTCCGTCGCTTACTTTCTAAATGCAGCGGGTGGAGCAACCGCATTGGTGTACAGGGGGTGTGTGTCTCTAGAAGCCTTGTGGCAGAGCGGTTAAACTGCAGTGCTGCAGCTGAGACTCTGCTCATGATGACCTGAGTTTTAATTTTTGTTTTATTTAATTGGACTTCTACCCCGTCCCTCTAGACTAAAGGTCTGCTCTGGGCGGGTTTGATCCCCCCCCCCGCAAGGGTTCGGGTCGCCAGCTGGATGTCATCTCAGCCTTCCGTCCTTGCCGCAAACTGTGCACACAGCTTGCTTTGGGGTGTGTGTGCAAAGTGTTGTTTGCATAATGACACCCAGAGAGTGGTTTAAGCACCATGCGGTGGTCTACAAGCAGCACCCATGACTTTTGAGGGTCAGACTCTTCCTGCCGGAGGAAGAGCCGTGGAGCCCGGCTGCTCATCAGCGGCCGATCTTACGTCACAGCCCTTCCTGGATGGGGAACCGGGAGCTCCTCCCCATCTCGGAGCAGCGGATGCTGGGGTTGTCACGGAAGAACTGAGCAGAGGCCCAGCACTTTTTTTTTTAAACTCTGTCCTCCTTGGCTGGCCACTCTCTCCGGTCAGGTGGGTCAAGCCCGGAGGCCTCTGCTGAGGACGTAGCGCGAGGCCATGGCAAGGTTCCAACGATGCTTCTCCAGAATCCTCCGGCACTCCTCCCGCGAGTGGGAGCTGAGGTGGAAAAGCTGGTCTACCTGTATGACAGAATCTGGGCCTCTTCTTCAAATGGGCTAAGGTAAAGGTAAAAGTTCCCCTTGACATTTAGTCCAGTCGTGTCCGACTCTAGGGAGCGGTGCTCATCCTCATCTCCAAGCCGCAGAGCCAGCGTTTGTCCGTAGACAGTTTCCATGGTCACATGGCCAGTATGACTAGATACGGAATGCCATTATCTTCCCACCGTGGTGGTACCTATTTATCTGCTCGCATTTACATGCTTTCGAATGGCTAGGTTGGCAGAAGCTGGAACAAGCAACGGGAGCTCCCTCCATCGCATGGATTCGATCTTACGACGGCTGATCTTCCGACCTTGCAGCACAGAGGCTTCTGCGGTTTAACCCGCAGCGCCACCCCATCCCGGCACTGGCCAAACTACTCCTTAAATATAGAGCTTTCAAAGAGTGGCTTGTGACGAAACCCGAGGTCTCATCTGCGGCGATGAAGAAGGGAGGGAGTTTGGGACAGGAAGCCTTCTCCTCCCGCGGGTCCTTCTGCCCCAAGACCTGAGAACCCTGAGAGGTACTTTGAGGAAAAAGGCCTTTTATATAGAGAATCTTAATAAATCCCAGGAAAAGAGGAGAGAGCCTTCATAAACTACTAGAGGTTCCTTTCAAATACAGAAAGAAAATAATAGAAAAAGGACACACAGACACCTTATCTGGACATTTAGGTATTACAGAGACTAAGCAGAGGATATCTCGGAAGTATTACTGGCCAAAAATGGGAAAGGAGATAAAAGAATTTTGTCAGAGTTGTGACATACGTCAAAGGAAGAGAAATAGGGAAGATAAAGCCAATAGGGAGGACAAGAGTAGGGATGATTATAATAATTATATGGAAGACATTAATAATATTTTTAATCAACTGAAACGGGAACCAGAAAATGGGGGACCACAAGGCCCTCCTTAGCAAAGCCCCCCAGAGCCAGAAGAAGGCTGGACCGGGGCCGGACTAAGATAGCTGAGAAGAGGGTCTCATGCCTTCAACATCTGGACAGCTTTCGGGACATCCCAGCTGTGCAGCCTCAAGGCCTCACGACACTCCTCGATGGTTGCTCCGGGGAGCCGGTCTTCCACCTAGAAAAAGTGGAAAGGAACCCAATCAGAAAGGCCTTCTTTCGAGTCAGAGCCTTACCCGACGGAGCCGGTCTTTGCAACGAGGAAGGGTTAGGGTTGGGGCGACCCCCTCCTTCATCCCTCACCCGAGGACTAACCAGGCCTGACCCCGCTCAACTTTCAAAAGCAGACCAGGTCAGTATGTCCGGGGTGGAGAGCGTGGACTCCCTGTCTATGGAAGGAGAGGCTGGGGGTTTGATTTCCCCCAATGTGCCTCTACAGGAGGAGGGGGGGATGTCAACGTGGGTAGCCTCGGGCACAATGGTCCCAGAGCGCCCCCAGATGGAGGGAAGAGGAAAAGCACGTCTTAAATAGTCTATACCTAGAAAACTTGGGTTTTTAGGATTCTCAGGATTCTTGGGTTCCTAATTCCACAGTCTGTGCATGGAAGGAACTTGAGTAGGAAAGGATGTTTTGCAGAAGGAAAAAAGCCTTGATGAGGGATCTAAGCCATTTCTTCCTGACTTCCTGAAGAAGTAGAACAATAAGATCTCTGTATCCATGGGGGGGGGGCTTGGTTTTAACCCTCTGCATGGATGCTGAAAACTGTGGATAATAGTGAACGCTATACATAGCATGGTAAAAGAAATAACCCAGAAATATGCATTTTTCACCATGTATTACCAGAACTTGCCACTAGAGGGAGCCAGAGACCATGCTATGTATTCTTCAACCAGAAGACCCCTGGCTCCTCCTCGTGGCCAGTTCTGGTAAATACATTGTGAAAATACCTGCTACAGTGGTGCCCCGCTTAACGATTACCCCGCTTGATGGCGCATCCGCTTCACAACGATGTTTTTGCGATCACTACTGCGATGTTTTAATGGGCAAAATCTGCTTTACGACAATCGGTTCTCTGCTTCGGGAACCGATTCTTCACATTACAACTATCAAAACAGCTGATCGTCGGGTTTTCAAAACAGTCGTGGCTGTTCAAAATGGCTCCCCGCTGTGTTCAGGATGGATTTTTCACTGCACAGGCATCGGAAAATGGCCACCCTATGGAGGATCTTCGCTGGACGCTGAGGTATTTAGCCCATTGGAACGCATTGACCCGGTTTTCAATGCATTTCAATGGACTTTTTTATTGCGCTTGACGAGGATTTTGCTCTACAGCGATTTCACTGGAACGGATTATTCTCATCAAGCGAGACACCACTGTACTTTTTTCTCCCTTTTAATAGTTTTAATATTTTGAGACTGCAGATAAATAAAACCACAGATACGGATCCCTCAGATATGGTGGTCCGACTGTACAGTGGTGCCTCGCATTACGAGTGCTCCGTTTGACGACAAAATTGCCTTATGACGAAGATTTTGTGATCGCAAAAGCGATCACAAAACGATGTTCCCTATGGGGGAATTTCGTTTTGCGATGATCGGTTCCGTTTCCCTAACCGATTATCACAAAGCGATGATTTTCGGCCAGCTGATCGGCGGTTTCAAAATGGCCGCCGGGTGAAAAACATGGCCGCCCGCTGTTTTCTGGCATGGATTCCTTGCTGCATGGGCAGCGAAAATGGCGGTGCTATGAAGAATCTTCACTGGACAGTGAGTTTTAATCCCCTAGGAACACATTAATTGAGCTTTAATCCGTTTCTATGGGCTTTTTAAAATCGCATGACGATGTTTTCATTCGACAGCTATTTTTTCGGAATGAATTAACATCGTCATGCGAAGCACCACTGTACTTAAAACCAGCTTTCTTTAACATAGATCTGCCCAGGTATGTTGGACTACAATGCCTGTCATCCCCAGAAATCCAGTGAATGAATGAACGAACGAACAGATGATGGAAGTGTCCCTCATGGCTCTGGCTTTCCAGATGTTTTTGGACTTCAATGCCCAGAATTCCTGGTGGTTGCCCATTCAACAGAGGCTTCTGTGATGGGAAAACCAAGATATCTGGAAGGCTCAAGAGCGAGACCCCGGCTCCTGGGCTTTACAAACCACCACCTTCTTGGCCTCACCTCCTTGATCTTCTTCTCTATGTCGCTCAGGGTGGGTCTTTGGGGCCCCGCAGGGGCCGGGGGCAGGCCCACAGCTCCTCTGATGGCCGGCCGACTCGGTCGCTGGTCCTTCTCCCTGGCTCCCGGAGAGGAGTCTGTTTTAGGCAGAGCCCAAGAGGGGAGCGCTGAGTTGGGTGGCCGGCCGGCCGGCTTGGCTGTCCGGGGCTGCTCTGGCGGCAGGGCTGGTGGAAAAGGGCCTGGGAGGTCACTCAGGCGCCGTTGGTGGACTGGCAAGCCTGGACGATCAGGTTTGGACGCCAAGAACTTCGCTTTGCTGCGCAAGACGCTAAAATCTGAGATGGACTCAAGGCTCTTGGAGAGGCCTAAAAAGAAGGAGACGGAGGGAACCCTTAAAAAGCAACGGTAAAGAGAAAGTAAAAGAGGGTTGTCGTCCCCAATGCCTTCCAGGTAGGCTGGGCTACAAAACCCATCATCCACAGCCAATGCCTGGGGGATGACAAGAGTTCTAGCCCAATCAATATGAAGAGGAAAGAGTGGCTGAAGGCTGGCTCAAAATGTTTGGGGCCGGGGAATTGGGAAATCGAGGCGGTTCTTTTTGCACAAGAGTTGCTGAACTTCAGAACAGAATTACTCACGCGCCAGACGGAGCAGCTGCTGGCCCTTGGTTTGACTCTGGGGGCTGGCATTCCCGGACCGAGGTTTTGGCTTCTTCCTGGGATAGAAAACAGCAGCCTCAAATGGTATACATTAAAATTAATTGGATCAAATTGCATTATATTAATAGTTCAAGGTAAACTCATTTGCACCCTCCCGGGCTCCTGCTTCCCCCTGTGATGATGATCTCCAGCTCCCCGGCACGTCCTGCGGCCAAGATGAAAAGGCCAGGGGAGGCCCAAGAGATTTTGCCGCCTGAGGCCGAGACCGATCTAATAAAAAAGTGGCAGGACTGGCAGTGAAACAGTTCCTGAAGGATGGCAAAGGGGCAGGATTCTCCACCACCACCAAAAGCAGCAGAATGGGGTGCAACTGCTACATAATGACCCTTTGCACCCGCCTCCTCCCTAATTAAAACTTTCCCCCCCTTTAGGACTCATTGGCACATTCCACTTTTATTGTTTAAGAACCGCGTTAGTCATACGTGCTGAAGTTTGGATATTTTAGCAGGGTCCGGATGGTGCAGTGCCACAACAGACCCCTAGGTGGCAGCACAGGCATCAGCAATGGGGGCGGCCCCTGCTTGGCTCTCCTGTATTTATACAGGGTTTGAGACAGTTGCATTGGGGGTGGTGTTGCTATAATCCCAGAATCCCTCTGCCTGCATAGCTACAGTGCCTCGCTTGACGAGGATAATCCGTTCCAGCGAAATCGCTGTAGAGCAAAATCCTCGTCAAGCAGAATAAAAAAGCCCATTGAAATGCATTGAAAACCGCTCAATGCGTTCCAATGGGCTAAATACCTCAGCGTCCAGCGAAGATCCTCCATAGGGCGGCCATTTTCCGATGCCTGTGCAGCGAAAAATCCGTCCTAAAGCACAGTGGGGAGCCAGCGAGCGGCCATTTTAAAACCCAACAATCAGCTGTTTTGATCCTGGTAATGCGAAGAATCAGTTCCCGAAGCAGGGAGCCGATCGTCGGGAAGCGAATTTTGCCCATTAAAATATTGCTTTGCGATCACAAAAGCAATCGCAAAAACCTCATCGTCAAGCGGATTCGTCATTTAACGAGGTAATCATTCAGTGAGGCAGCACTGTACTTGCCATGCTGTTGAGGGGCTCATGGGAGGTGTAGTCGAACCCGAGGTAATCATTAAGTGAGGCACCACTATACATGCCATGCTGTCTAGGGGCTCATGGGAGGTGTAGTCCAACCCCCCCGGGGAGGTGTAGTCGAACCCCCCCAAAACACTCTCTCTCTCTCTCTCTCTCTGTATGTGTGTGTGTCTGTGTGTGCATGCAAAGAGCTCCCCCAAACATACTCCTCCATCCGGTCCGGAGCACCCCACGCCCGCTCGGGGTTGATGTCCCCATGGCCCAGGTGAACAAGGGAGTTTCGGATGGGGCGGCTTATCTGTGGTGCCCCCGAAGGCGGTACTGCTTCCTCCAGGGCTGCTATGGAAGAGGGGAAGGCTCCCACTCTCAGCGTTCGCTTGTTCTGTCCTCGCCACGTGGACAAGTCTGGACTAGAAGAAGAAGAAGGAAGAGAAAATTTAAATGAAATAGTCACATGCCCACACCACCTGGTTTCACCCTACCTGCGTGAACAGCTCTGTGGTCAGGAAGGAAGGAAAAGAGGGAGGGAGGGAAGGAAGGAAGGAAGGTAGAAAGAAAAAAGGCAGGCAGGAAGGAATGAACTGGGGATGGATGCAAGGAAGGAAGAGAGAAAGAAAAAAGGAAGGAAGGAAGGAGGAAAGGGAAAGAAAAAAGGCAGGAAGGAAGGAAGAGAGAAAGAAAAGAACGAAGGA